CTTGGCCATACCATTGTTGACCCCGTTTCCATGTGGTCTCCGTTCATGGCTGTGCCTGTCTTAGGTTGTCCGCCAGGGGATCTTACCCGTCATTGACTAACCAGCACTCAAAATGGGAGACCATAGGAGTGCTTGTTCAGATGGGGGTAGGAATGAGGAACAACGGTAACTGCATGCAGGCTGTGGGCCATTTGAGTGGCTGACCAGAGCTAGTGGGGGTATAAAACAGTAGCAAATATGGCTATGGGCAGTTCCTCAGGGTAGGATGATAGGGCAGTAGCTTGACAATTGGTAGCAGGTGCATCCACTAACAAGGTGGACTCTGTCTTGTTCAGCTAGTTCTGGTTGACTATCAGTTGCAGGCTTGATGTTTCTGGCTGGTACCCAAATGGGCTATCCCACATTCTCTGGATAGACACAAGCATATCCTTGGCCCTTGGTCAGCAAAAGCCTTTCTATGGGTGTTGGAATCCAGGGCCTGAATTCCACATCTGCTGCTACATTTAGGGCAAACATGCAGGTGGGATGGGGTCTAGCAGCTGCTCTGAGAGCCTGGGGTACCTGGGAACTGCCACAAACATGGGGATCCTCACTGGGTGCAGATGGGATGACCTCACATGGATTATTGCCTCAAGCTCGTCTAAGTTCATCCCATGGGTATCTGGGGGGTGTCTAACTAGGCATTGCTGCGTTGTCTGCTGACATGTCATTTTCACTGTCAGAGCGCTCTCTCCCTAAGTCATCAACTGATGTCTGTGAGACAGGGACCTGGAGTGACAGGCTCTCATCACTCACAGATTCATTATGTTTGGTCATCTGTGTGGGTTTCTGAGAGGGGGTATCTTTCCCATGTTTGAGTGCTTAAGAGCAGAACAGCACGCCAACTCTAGCCAAAGGAAAGACACACACAGCACTGCTGCCATAACAAAACAAATTCCTAGCACCTCAGTGGTTGATGGCATTATGCAGGGGTTCCCTACGTTAGACAGACAGACAGTAGTGTATCAGGTCGTACGTTCGTCCTGTGCTTAGTGGGGGACTTCCTTGATTCGTTAGGTCAAGGCCGTATGCTCACACGGTGTCTCCGGAGCGTCAACTCTCTCAAGGGAGGGTAGATGACTTGGTTCCAAATTCTGGGATGATCAGTCCCTTATGTGAATTCACCAGGTGAACTGAAAGTAAGAGGAGCTGAGAAGTGGCGTACGCTTCTGGGCGATGTGTGCTTAACCTGAGGTCATTTAGACCGAGGACAAGGACAAGGAAAGGGGCGTAGGAGGGGGTTCTGTGCTCACCCTCACAGAACCGAACAGCACACAAAACACCGAGGGGCCTACTTGCCAAAATCAAGGGGGGACCTCACCGAGTCCGACACACTGTCTCTCTATCAGTCATGTTGGTGCCAGATGTTGCTGTGGATTCATTCTGAGAGGAGGAGCGTGGTGGGGGCAAGAGGCGCAGAGTCACCACACAGATGCCGGGAGTTGGGTGAAAGCAGGCCAGAGGTGAGCAGCCAGCAGACTTGTCTATTTCAGTTGGTGCAGCAGCTTATATAGCCGAGGCAGCCAATCTTGTCAAGGGGCGGTTTATGTTGCCAGGCAGGCTCCATTGCCAGGTGGTTTCCCAGGGAGTTTCTGAAGCAATTCCTGAGTAACTGATGCTTTCTTGCCAGCAGCCATCTTGGCATGGCCTTCTCATTATACCACACGATCCCTTAAGGGTGCAGGGGCCCCGACATGTGGTGCCAGTGCCCCCCGAGCCATGAGGGTGCCAGCATCCCCAGCCCCATGAGTGTGCCTGAACTACCAACCCCATGAGGGTGGCTGCTGCCCCTGACCCTGTGAGGATAGCTGCTGCCCGACCTGGTGAGGGTGGCTGTGGCCACCGACCCTGTGATGGTGCCCATGCCCCCTGACCTGTGAGGGTGCCTCTGTCCCCCGCCCCATGAGGTTGCCAGTGCCCGCCAACCCCTGTGGTGCCAATGTCCTCCATCCCCCATGAGGATTTCTGAGCCCACCCAATGGGGAGAGGTTGTCTACATGCCCCCCCCCACAGTGGCATCATGGCTACCCCCAGCCCTCCCCTACCCCAACCGCAGCCCACAGTTGGGCCTTCCTCAGTCTTCCTGGGCAGACAGAACTCCAGGAGGCTCCCGAGCTGTCTTTCAGAATCCCTCTCAGTGCCCCCTGAGGAGCGTCAGCCAAGGTAGGCACCTACCACTCTACCTGCCTCAGGACTGCATCTGCCCCACTGCACCAGCCCCACACTGGGGGGGCGCCCCTGGGATCTCAGGGCCAGGCCCCTCCCTCTCCCTGCAGCTCCAGACTCCCTCTTTCCTGTTTCTGTCCTTGGGCCAGCTGGCTCTCTCCTCTTCCTTCCCAGGCAGCCTCGGGACTCAGTGTTGCTGCCCAGGGCCTCCGTGGCTGAGCCTGGGGGTTCTCGGGACAGGATCCACACCACTGGCAGAGAGGCCAGGGAGCTTGTGGTTGATGGTGTAGGGGCTGGGAACTTGGGGGGTGTTGTGGAACAGCCAGAGGTGTTTGAACTTCCTCCTGGGCGTGCCACACCTGCCCCAATCTGAGTTGTGCTGCTGGGGGCAGGGGGCAGGGAGTACTAAGCCCCCCAGCCTGGGAGCCCCAGCACAGGCCAGGGTGAAAGGCTGGGGGTCACCTCGTCCCTTGGGTGTGCAGTTGAGAGTGGCCGGGGGTGAAGCCTTCGGTTGCTTGATGACCTCAAAGCCTGAGAATCCTCTGCACCCATCAGCCCAGGTGAGGCGGGGACACACAGCCTCCTGCCTCCCATCTGGGCATTGTCACACCTGCTACTGGCTGAAGGCAGGGTCCTCAGCCCCAGATGAAGCCCCGTAGCCAGGGCAGGTCAGCTATTCTGAGTTCCGCCTGGCCGGGCCGCAGAGTTGGCCTAGGGCCCCACCTACCACTCTTTGCTGGCCTCTGACTCTCCCTCTTCTGCTTTTCCCCAGCAGGGAGGGCCCAAACTCGCCTCCACGACCTGCAGCCTCCAGACCAGCCGAGGCTCCCTCTTAGATTTATGAGTCTGTGGCCCCCTGCCCACCCTGCCTCCTCAGGGTCCCCTCAGAGGACTCCTGGGGTTTTTGAGTACCCGAGGGGCCTCCAGCACCCCCTCCAGCCATCTGTTTTAGCTGCACGCTCCTGGTTCAAGCAGGGTTCTTCCTCCTGTCTTTCTCCATCAGGCCTGCTGGCTGCCACGTGAGCCTCCCAGGCTAGTGCTGGCCCTGGCCAGTGGGTCCAAAGGCAGGGCCATCAGTGAGGAGGGAAGCCCGAGAGGGCCAGGCAGTGTCAGGACTGTGGCACTGCTGCCTGGGAGGTGAGTGAGAGGTGGCATGAGTGGCAGGGGAGGCCCTCTCCAGCCTCGACTCCCCGGAAATTCTGGTCATCTACTCCAGCTCCTCCTCCCATCTTCCTTCCCCTTCCTGTCCATGGCCTTTTCCAGAAAGCTCACCCACATGCCCACCTGCTGCTGCTTCCCACCTCCGCCCTGCCCACCAGTGCCATGGCCTGGCTGCTCTTGCCTTACCACCTGTCTCCCTCCTCTCTCTCTGCTGTTCTCTCTGCTTTCTCTCCCACTGCCAGCCGATTGGGTCAGGCAAGGCCGTCCCATCCTGAGAGCCCCAGGCCCCCCTTTGACATCTAACCAGATCCTTTCTCTTCCTCGGAGACCTCCCTTTGCCAGTCTGTCCAGAGAGCTGTTCTGTGACTTGACAGTGGCCCCTCAGCCCCTAAGCCTCCCCCTCATCTGTGACTTTCTGTTGTCTGGTGAGCTCACACCTCCAGGCATGACCTTGGTGAAAATTTGTGCCCCTCTGCGGTCCTACTCCTGCCCTGTTCTATAAATATAAATACTCATAAATACACACACACACACACACACACACACGTGGCAGTGCCCCTGGAGTTGCAGTGTAAGGAGACCAGCCTGGAAGAGGCCTCTTCACCCCACTGAACGCTCAGCACAGCACAGAGGCTGCCCACTGCTGGCAGGCCCTGCTGCCCTGTGCAGTGCCCACCCGCAGCAAAGTAAACCCTGGGCCCTGTGACAAAGCTGCTACACATGGGCCAAGCAGTATGGCTCTATCTCTTTATTTCAAGATAATAACAGGAGCCACATCACCATGGTGCCACAACCCTATCTCCGCCTCTTTCCTGGGCCATAGACTGTCAATAAATAAGTTTCCCAGCCCCAAATAATTATTATGACCTCCTCCTCATTTGCGAGCTCCAGCCTCAGCTATGATACAGGGGAGGCCCTACCCCCAGCATATACAAAATATACACAAGTACAATATGTACGTGGGGGTGGGGGTGGGGAGGCCCACTGGAGGCAGCCTCTTCCCCTCATCAGGCCTAGAGTTAGCCCCAACTGTCCTAGGGCCTGACAGAATGCTGCCTACTGCCCTGCCCCAAAGTGCCTCCAAAGAAAAGGGAGTCCCCTGAATGCCTGCCTAGCCTGCCTCGGCCCTGCCTGGCTGGTGTGCCTCTCTTAGTAAGGGGACAGGCGCCCCTGCATCGCCTGCTCCAGCCGACCCTTTGAGGGCTGTTGACCGTGCCTCCCAGCTGGCCTGCCTGGGGGCACAGACACGGAGTAAAGAGCTGGACCACGCCTGGCCTACCATGAACGCCACCTGTGGTAAGCACCCGGCCTCCCATTAGCCTCAGCTTGCCCAGGCCACCCTGCAATTTGGGACCAGGAGCCCAGAGAGGACCCTCATCCTATTGTGCCCTCCTCGCCCATATACCCTTACCCATGATGCCCTGGCCCAGAAGTGACCCTTACCCATGATGCCCCTGGCCTGGAAGTGACCCTTGCCCATGATGATGCCCCTGCCCCGGAAGTGACCCCTGCCCAGCGATGCCCTTGCCTGGGTGCCCCCGCCCAGCAATGACCCTCAATCAGATGCCCTCCTCGCCTGATGCCCTCATGTCCATGCCTGCTGATGCCCCCATGTGATGTTCCTGGCCAGCCCCAAGAGGGGCGATGAAAACTGCCTGGCTGACTTGCCCAAGTGGTTGAGCATCCCCTGTTCTTGGCTGTTCTGGGGGCCACACAAATGCTGCCTGTGTTGGTCATGGCCTCTAAAGATGGAGCTGGAAATGAGGAGGCCCCAGGAGCCCCCGGGGTCCTCCAGAGAGGCAGCCTAAAGAGGCCTTTCTCTCCCCATCAGGGGTTCTGGCTAAGGAGGGAAGGGAACTGGGAAGGAACGGCAGGGGATAGGGTGGCTAGCAGGGGTGGAGTGGCAAGGATGGGGTTGGGGCTCTCCGGGCTGACGGCATCTGGTGTTTAGACGATAATTTCGTCATGCTCGTCAGCCCAGTAGAAGAAGGGGATGCAGTGGTTGGTGCCCAAGCCTGGGCACTCCCGGGGGTTCTGCATCTCCTGTGGCTGCTTCCTGAGCTGCTGCACAGTAGGGTGCTGCTTGTGTAGTGCCTTCTTCTCAGAGTGCAGCTGTTTGTAGGCGGCCACGTGCTGCTGCAGGTGGAACAGGCACTGGTCGCGCTGTTGGTGCAGACCCTGAGCCTTCTGGCTCTTCAGCTCCATCTGCGGAAGACCAAGGCGGGTGGGGGAAGCATGAGGGCAGGTGGTGGCTTGCTAACTGATTCCACTGGTTGCAGGGGAGTGGCGCAGAGCCCTGCGTCTCCTGCACCCAGCCTCACACCTCATCCCCTTCTTTCCATCACTTTAATTTGAGGCCACACACGAGAGGGAAGGCATCATCTTTAGGGGAACACTTGTGCCTAATACTTTACATGCACAATCTCAGCTCATCCTCAACACCTGTGTAAGGAAAAAATGCTAAGTTCCTTTGTCAGGAATCTGAGGCTTAGCAAAGGGTAGCTAAGGTGGGTGAAACGCCTCTCGTGGGACAATGATGTCCAGGCCTGGGAGGATCCCGGGGCTACCAGCCCTAAGAGAGGCAGGACAGTCGATATGGAGGTCACCTGTCACTCCAGACTGGAGCGGCCTCCCTCCTGGGCCTAGCACTGCCCTCCCCAGAGACTTGTACCCATGGCCCAGTCCTTCACAGTCAGGCTGAGCATTACCGTTTCCTTCAGCTCCCCCAGCTTCTCCTGCAGCTGGCCGAGTTCCCTGGCCAGCTCGTTCTTGATGTGCTGCTCTGACTGCAGCGAGAGGGTGAGCCGCATGTTGTCATTGCTCTGCACAGAGAGAAGCAATCCGTTGCCACCCAAAGCGGCTGCATCCGGATCCCAGCACCAGGTGTCCGCCTCCCATAGTGCCTGGAGGGCTGGAAGCTCAGCCCCTCTCCTCCGACAGACATTTGAGCAGGGTCCTGGCTCACAGGGCACCTGCCTAGGTCATCACCGTCCCCTTTGGTGGGGGGGAGTGAAGGCCCAGAGGGAAGTGTTTTGTGCCAGAGGCCTTGCCCAGGGAGGCCGAACGCACCAGTCTCACGAAGCCATCCTGCAGCTCGGCCAGCTGCTCCTTGAGCTCCCAGTTCTGCAGGAGCACGCGGCCGATGGTCACGCGGTCGCTCTGCTTGCGCTCCTCGGCCTGGCTGCCCCACAGCTCCACCTCCCGCTCCAGCTGCAGCAGCCGCTGTTCCTGCTGCTGGTTCAGGCGACTCAGGCCTGCGTTGTCCTGCACCTGGGCCTGCAGCTGTCCCGCCAGGCTCTCCAGCTCCTTCTGCAGCTGCTCAGCCTGCGCCTGCAGCTGCTGTTCTGCCTCCGACGGCCCCGTGGGGGAAGCTGGGGACTCTGGGGTGGGAGGCTCAGCTGAGAAAGGAAGCAGCCATCAGGGGCCCTGGCCTCTGGGTTTTCAAAAAGCTCCTGTCTTGGTCCTTAGCTCCTCAGGCCAACTCTTGCCCCCACCCCGGTGCTGGCTTCTTGGCTAACAACTTTCTATATTCAGATGGTCATTACCCTTCCAAGCCAGGACACAGAGTGCTTGACCGTGCATGGTGGACAGTGGGTGCACCACCCCTATTTACAGATGAGGTCACCTATGCTCAAAGAGATGACAAGACTCACCATCCACCAGCACAGACCTGCTTCCCTCTGCCACAACACCCCTTGCTGGGGCACCTGACACCCATCCTGCTCCCAGGCCACCTCTGAGCTCGACCACGGTGGTCTCCAGCTCCCGCACCTGACTCAGGCTGCACTCCTTCTCCTCCAGCGTGCAGAGCTGCCCAGAGCACAGGGAAAAGAGCCATGAGCAGGGGCCACTGCCTCCCTCTGCACCGACGCTGCCCCCAAAACCCAAACACGCAGCCACCTCTGGCTGCAGGCCTCACTTGCTGTACTGTGCAACTTAGGAAGCAGCAGGGGACGGCCTCCTGGGATCCCGACACCCACACAGGAGGTCTGGATTGAGTTTCAATCTCCTGGCTTCAGCCCTGGCTGTTGAAGGCATTTGGAAAATGAACTAGTGGATGGAAGATCTCCCTCCATCTCTGTCTGCCTGCCTCTGCCTTTCCAACGGAAACCGAGATGCTTAAATACACATTTTTGAAAAGCTGTATCACTGAGATTCTGATTGTGTAGGTCCAGGCAGGGACTCTCTCTGCAGAATTCTAGCAATTTCTGGAGGATTCTAGGGCAGGACCAGAATAAGGATTCAGAATTTCCATCTCTTGGCTGGGGGCCTCCCTGACAGTCCCTGGGGATGGTGGCCCCCGCGGGCTAGGGCTGGGGCTCCGTGGGCTGCAGCCTCTTACTTGTTGCAGCAGCAGCTCAGACATTTCCAGCTTCTTCTGCAGCTCCTCCGTGCCCAGCTGCAGGGTCTTCTTTTCGGTCACGAGGACTCGAAGCCTCTCTTGGAGCTCAGAGTTCTGCTGCTTCAGGTCCTCATTGTTTTTGCTGTGGTGAGAGGAATGAGCAAACAGAGTGGACCACTTTGGTGACCAACCCACCTTTTGCTGCACCTGCCAAGAACCTTGGTGTTGGAGGGGTCCCCAACAATCAGGTCACTCCCGTGGCAGGCCAGAGAGAGGACCTGAGCTGCCTGAGGCCATCGCATGAGCTGGTGGCACAGCTGGGACCAGAGCTTGGCTCTGCACACGTCCCAGCCTGTACAGCCACTTCCTCCTCATGCTCCCTGGCACCCCTCCCCTCGTCACCTGTACTAAGGTCCCCCAAACTCCTCCCGCCACCTTCCCCTTCTTACTTGTTCTTGTATAACAGCAGTTTCAGAGCATCTCGCTCTTTGGTCAACTCCTTGGTGTGCTGCAAACACAGAAAAGCTACGTCAGATCTCAGGGACCCTGGAGGGGGAGGGGGTGGGGTGCAGACACAGCAGCCGTGCCATGAGCAGACACAGAAATCACATTACTTTTTCCGCTTGCTCCATAGTTTCTTGGTTCTGTTGTTTCTGTGGGGAGAGTCAAAGAAGGAAGGTGACTAAGGATGTCCCCTCTACTCCACTCCCAGAGCAAGAGGGGGTGGGCAGGGGGCCAGGGCGGGATGGGCACGTTCTCAGACCCTATGGGCACAGGACCTGTCCCGAGGCTCCCAAGGAAAGAGCATGTGGGTCTTTGCTGGTTTTTGCTCACAGCTATGAACCGCATCTGAATCAGGATTCTTCTTAGGGGACAGTAAGGTGAGCCTCCAGAAACGGAATGTGAGAAAAGACGGGCCTTCCACTAGGTTTGGATTTACAGGGGTGTGCGCATCGTTCGACGGCTCAGCACATGTTACATAGGGGTTGGGGCTGCTCTTAACAGCGGGGATACAGGAATGAAAAGCACAGGTAAGATCCCTTCTCTCCCTAAGGTTGACGTCCCAGGGAGCCTGGAAATCTTGGATTCTTAGAGCTAAAAGAGACCTTTGACAACTGCCATTTCAACCTCCTTGGGAAACTCAAGCCCAGGGTGGAGAGGCGCTTGTCCAAACTCAAAGCTCAAGTCAGGGCCTGAGTCAGGGCAGGGACATGAGGCTCGTGGCCAGCGCTGAATGAGAGGCCACAATCCCAGGACTGTGTGGCAGGGTGCAAGCAGGGGTGTCTGGAGAAGAGAGGAGGCGGAGAGGGCAGTGACAGGACGAGAGCCATGCTGCATGCTCCATGCTCTGGGGTCCCTCCAGCTGAGACCTGGCCCACCCAGCACCCCACTCTCCCTCGGCACCAGGGGGCCCCCAGCCCCTTTCTTCAGAGCCCATGGGGAAGCGGAAGCCCAGGGTGGGCAGCATGGAATCAGGGGACCCCACTGGGCTCTTACCAATTCCTCTATGGTGTTACTGAGCTGTTTGTTTGTTAGATAGCTGGAGTCCAGGGCTACTGCCAGCTCTTGGTACCGGCTCTGAGGCGCATGCAGAGAGGAGGAGTTGCAGGAGGGTTGGGGGAGAGGTAGAGAGAGCAGTCATTAGGGCTGGTGGGGGGGCATGGGCTATCTCAGCTGGCAGTGGGGCACTCAGCCCCCGCTGTGGGAGAAGGGGGGGCTGGCCCTGCAGAGCCACTCACCTCCAGATCCTTCATGTAGGAAGATGTGAGGCCCTCTCCACCGATGTAGGACGTTGACTAGAACAGACAAGAGCTCCCATGGAGACGCTACGTCCTCTACCGCCAAGTCCCTACCCTTGGACTACTTCTCTACCCCACCTCCACCTGGCAACTCCTCTGCCCAGCTTGGCCTCTTCCTCTCATCACCCTCTATGCCTACCCTCAGACTACCTCTCCACCCCACCTCCACCTGGCAACTCCTCTGCCCAGCTTGGCCTCTTCCTCTCATCACCTTCTATGCCTACCCTCAGACTACCTCCCCCCCACACACCTGGCAACTCCTCTGCCCAGCTGGGCCTCTTCCTCTCATCACCCTCTATGCCTACCCTCAGGCTACTTCACCCCCCGCCACCCCCACCTGGCAACTCCTCTGCCCAGCTGGGCCTCTTCCTCTCATCACCCTCTATGCCAGCTTCTCCTGGGTCTCATCACCATCCCCCTCCCTTCCCTAGTGATGCTCTCCCTATGCTTCCTGCGCTGAGATACATTGTCACCGTTCTCATGGCCATGTCCTTCATCTGTATGGCTTCCAAGAAGAAGCCATCACCCAGCCTGCCCAACACGGCCCAGCAGGTCAGTCTATTCCAGGATCTCCCCATCTCTCAGGAATCCCAGCCTCCATTTCTGTCCTTTCCTCTCTCTCCTCCCTTCCTGAGTCCCAGTGTCTGGGGTACCTCGGAGACAAGACCATTGAGCTGCTGAGCAAGTTGACGCAGGCTCTCCGTGGAGGACAATGTCCTAGGGACAGACACACAGAGGTTAGGGGTGCAGGGGCTTGATGCAAAAGAGGTCCTTGGGCCATGGCCTGCCCTCACTCCCATGGCTTAGGGACTGCTGCCCGCACAGGAAGACACTCACTTGGTCTCATCTATGAGGACAGGGCCATAGTCAGCATCATGGATCTGAGGGAGAAGAAAGAAACAGTGATCACCTGATTTCCAGTAAGAACCACCCAGGGGTGGCAGGGGCCCAGCTCCTTCCAGCAACCTGCCACTGCCACAAGCTCAAGAGAAAGCCCCGCCTTGGCCTCCCCCACCCCAGTGCCGGGAAGGGTGCTTGGCATTGGGAACCAAGCTGCGGGAAGAAAGGAGACGAGAATGCACAGCAGGCGCAGTCCTCTGGGAAGGGAGATGGTGCAAGCATACGGGGGTAGCAGGCACAAGGACAGAGGCACAAACCTGAGTTGGTGCCATGCTAGTTAGACTAGCGCCAGGGGACGCTACACCGCCAGGTAACACGGTGGCATCAGCAGAGGGTGGTGCAGGAGCAGCGCGGTCTTTGGGCGCCTGTCAGGGAACAGAGCAGGGGGTTAGGGGGCCGTGCAGGAGAGGAGGTGCCTTGCTGCCAGGGACACAAGGGCGCAGGGCAGGTTGGAAGATGTTGTAGCAGTCAGCGTGACAGTCACACATGCTGGGAACCACAGGGGTTGTGGGAATGGCTTGCCCAGGCTTGGGGACACGTGGCATCTTTTCAGGTGGCCAAAGCTCAAAGGAAGGGGGGGCTACGACCTCCGTGGACACGAGGCCCTGGTTCTCCCTGGACCTCAGCAAGGGCTCTAACCTCCGGCAGCCACAGCAGGCAGAAGGAACGGGCACCAAAATCAGGGAGCACGGCAGTGTTCTTCTAGAAAGCCAGTGACCCTAACTCTAGGCCCCTGCTGGGCCGAGGCTGCTGGTGGTGATGGGGCTCCCTCCAGGTAGCTCTCTGCCGCTGCCCTCTCCTGCTCTCCGCCCTTTCTCCCTGCCCTCCTCTCTGCCTCAACCATCAGCTGCATTTCTCTGATTCAGGCCTTTCCAAGGAGAAATGTTGCCCAAGAAGCCCCTCCCTGCTTTCTGGAGATAAAATCAACCACAGCCGCCTCATGGGCATACCTCTCAGCCCAATCCCGCAGCTCCAGAAACACCTACTCTACCAAAAGAAGCCAGGAAATCACAGGTAAGACATCTGCTCTTTGACTTGGCACATGGAGGTCATGGCGCCTCATTGCCAGAAAAACTGCTAGGGAACAATGTGGGGATCTAGCACTTGGAGCCATGGAAAAGCCTCTCCTTCTCCCGCAGCGGGACCCCCTCCCTCGGCCAGCCCCATCCAGCTTCTCCCCAGGCTCAGGCCTAACTCTCGGTCCAAGCATCTGGCTCTAGAGACCACCTCATGTCAGCAGGCCAGACGGCCGCACACAGCCAAGATGGCTGAACAAGTGACAGCAGCCAGAGGAGCTGAGTGGAGGCAGGGAGTTGCTGCCTGCTCTCTGGACCCTTCAGCCCTGGCCTCTGAAAACCCTAATCGGCTGCCTCCTTAGAGTCCAGGCTGCAAAGCCTACAGATGAGGATGAGGCGTGCTGAGTCTGCAGTTGTACCGTGACCATGGCCTGGAACCCACCGCCCACAGAGATTGTTGTCCTCAAAACCCACTGTTGCCTTGACAACGTCTGTGACTGCATCTATCAGGTAAAAGCAGCGGGCCAGGCATGAGACTTTAGAGAGGCTGCACTCCCAGCCATGGACCCAGGTCCCTCTTAGCATCTTAGTTCCCACTGAGCTCTATTTTAGACACAGAAACAAGAGGGGAGTGGGGAGAACACTTCTCTGAGCAGTTTCCTTGACTTGTTAGGTTTATTTTATTTATTGGAAAGGCAGAGTGACAAAGAGAGAGGGGAACTCAGAATCTTCCATCCACTGGTTTACTCCTCAAACGGGCACCATGGGCCAGACTGGGCCAGGCCAAGCCAAAGCCCAAGAGTCAGAAACACCAATCAGATCTCCCACATGGGTGCAGGGGCCCAAGCACTTGGGCTACCTTGTGCTGATTTCTCAGGCACATTAGCGGGAAGTGGATCAGAAATGGAGCAGCTGGGACTCAAGCACTCATATGGATGCCAGTATCATAGGAAGTAGCTCAACCCACTGTGCCACAACACCAGCTCCTCTGAGCAATTTTAAATATAGGTACCGTGGCCAGTGCTGTAGTTTAGCAGGTAAAGCCACCGCCTGCAGTGCCAGCATCCCATATGGGCACCAGTTCAAGTCTCGGCTGCTCCTCTTCTGATCCAGCTCTCTGCTATAGACTGTGAAGGGAGCAGATGGCGGCCCAGGTCCTTGGGCCCCTGAACCCATGTGGGAGACCTGGAGGAAGCTCCAGGCTCCTGGCTTCCGATCAGCCTAGCTCCGGCCGGCGCAGCCCTTTGGAGAGTGGACAGCAGATGGAACACTTCTCTCTCTCTCTCTCTCTCTCTCTCCTCTGAAACTCTGCTTTTCAAATACATAAATAAGTAAATAAAAATTGAATCTATGTATCGTGATTATTTTGTGAACAACCAATTCACAATTCTAAGTCTTAAGGTGGGAGCTTAGCCTAGGTGTCGGGATACCAGATGAGAAGGCTACACCTCGCTTCAGAGTGCCCGAGCCTGATGCCTAGCTCCAGCTCTAACTCCAGCTTCCTGCTCATGCCAACCTAGGGAGACACGGTGATGGCTCAAGTACACTGAGCTCCTAGAAGTCATATACACAGCTGTCAGGACTTCTCCGTGCCTGGGCCCTGCCCAGACTATGCCACTTGGTGTCTCCTCTGAGGCCATAGAGTGAGTCACGGCCCCTGGCCAGACCTAACTGGGTGGGAGCAGCCATGATGGTTGACCAGCCACCTGTCCCTTTCCCCAGGCCCATCTCTGGATCAGCCCTGCTACACTGGCTTGGCTGAAGGCCCTGGGGCAGTTAGACAGGAAGTGCCAACATCATCTGCAGGTTATGGCCTACCTAGCCCCATGTGCCTGTGCCCTGCCCCTCCCCCAACCCAGGCTCCCTGCAGCCCTGAAAGGTGTTCTATGACCTCACAATGCTGCCTATGACCTCTTTGCTCCCTCTGCCTCCCCCACTCACCACGTGGATGAATATTACCCACTTTTAATCTTCACACTGGCCTCAAATGCCACCTCCTCAAGCTGCAAGTCCATTCGGAACCCACCTCCCTCACCTAGCCACGCAGCTGGCCTATTGCCGCCTTTCCCCTGCCCCTCTCAGAGGACTCTGTCACCCCCACGGTGTCTCCTGTCTTGTTCTTCTACTTCCACCACTGTGCAGCCAATGCCTTTGCCGTCCACGGGCCCAGTGAATACGGTTGAGCGTCCCATCTGATTTGTCAAAGAGATGAGGGGCAGGCAGAGTGTCCTAGCACTGGTCTGTCTGGGTAGCCTCACATCCTTGCTGGTTAGTTCCTCTGAAAAGCTGACCTCCATCCTTGCGATTATAAAGCCAATTCATTTTCTCTTAATTCTACCTTCTCACTCTCAAACCAAAATGGAATTCATCAAGTTGAAAAATCACTCACTTCCATCTGGTCTACTTGCCCAGAGGGCAAAATGTAACAGAGTTTGTATTTTTTCAAATATCTCCTGGTCTGACCGCACCGGGCATTCAAAGCCCAAAACCCCACAGACCTGCTCTGAAAGTTATTCCCAAATTACCGAATCTTTGAGGTGTGCCTTACCCTCTCCAAGATGATAAAAGACACGAGGGAAGGGAAAAAATGCAATTAACCAAGCAGGGGAGGAAGCAGACATAAGCAGGCTGAGGGTTAATGGCAGCAACATAAAACAAGCCGGGGCAGAGGCTCCCCCAAAGGAGACAAGCCTCAGGGACATGCACACCTGCGAGGCAGCAAGCCAGAGAGGGGGTCTCGGCACTGCCTCCCCTTCCACTTGTCCTATGGGGCAGCGCTACCCCATCGGAACGGTTAAGGTCAGACACCAGCACCTTCAGTATGGCCTGCATCTAGAGGCGGTGAAAAGGGGAAAACAAGGGCAGGGGAAGACACAGAGACGTGGCTTAGAGAGAGGCGAGGATGTCGGGGAAGGAAGAGGTGGAGTCAGGAAACGGAGGCTGAGGAAGAGCAGAGATCCACACCGTGGCCCCCCAGGCCATCCTCTCAGACTGGCCATTGCTGCCTCACCAGACAGAGGGAAAAGTCCCCAGGCCCCAGAGTCACATGAAGCGCAGTCACTGACCAGCACGGCTCTCAGACCCTCCCCCAGACACGACCCCCACTCTCCATGTTAAAACCAGACTTCTGCAGAAGGGTTCTCTTGAACAAGGGAGGCTACAGCTCAACAATTAGAAGACACTGTTCCAATCCAATAATATCTGACAGCCTGAAACTGAAGCTCAGGGGAGGCTGTGACTTTTCTGAGGTCACCCAGAGCCAAGGCCGAATCCCAGTGCCTGGGGCTTCCTAAGGGGACAGCCTGATGGCCAGGCTGCTCTTGCTGACCTGGCTTTTCCTGAGGCCAGGGATGAGGAAGTCGCAAATACCAGCGACTATGAATGTTACAAGACCCTGTATTCTGGATTAATATGAGAACAGCAAAAACTCTCAAACTTTGTGAGTAAAACATCAGCCCTATCTGTTTCACAGATGTGGAGAGAGAGGCCCAGAAAGCTTGAACAGTTTGCCTTACATCATATCCCTAGCAGAGGGAAAGGGAGCATTCAAACCCAGAATCCTTGACCAGTAGCTAACACTCCCTTCCACCATCTTCCACTGTCCTCTGGATCCCCAACCCCCCACCCCCCATTGCCCCTTAGCCCCCGAGCCCCCAGCAGCCTGTCCAGCCAAGACTCACATCCTCAGTTGAGTGACAACCCCGAGAAGTGGTTGTCTCAGGGCTACTGCCGTTTTCAAGGTTTTTCTTCTTTTTTCCTCCTGCAGGACCACCAGGCCTGTTCTTCCGCTGATACTCTCTTAACTGTGGAAAGGAAAAGCAGTTGATTCTCTGGAATGCCCTAAGCCCCTGCGGTCACATCCTACTTCACAGTGTTCACAAGAACTCTCATGTCCACCACTGACTTCATGCCACTGACAACCCTTCAAGGGGCTGGAATGATCAGTTAACCTCTGAAGAACTGACAACATGGCTTCAATAAAAGGGAATGATGGAATTTAAAATCAGCTTCCAACTCTCACTTCTGGGGTTCTGCCAAGAATCAGCAGCTGCTGGGAGCAAAACCAGAGGTAGAGGTAGAAGGTTAAACATTATGGGGTCAGGAATTGTACTTTGTGTGGTTTGGAAACAAGACATTGGGTCCTTTCTTCCATATCAGAACCTCACAGAACTTCGAGGGGCACCCCGAGGAACCCTGGACACCGAGGAGAAAGAGTAGAACCCAGGCATTATTCCAGCCAAGGGCCATTATGATGTCTTGACAGGTTCCGTCCCAAGCCACAGGATGGCCTCACCAAGCTGCTCCCTCGCTCCTCTGTGGCAGTGCCCTCACCCAGCTTCAAAAACTCCCCTGGGGAGGGTTCAGGCTATAAAGTTTAGTCTCCCAAGGTCTGTTTCACAGACGGTCACACAGCTGTCACTCCAGAGAGCCTGAGTGTGGGGCACTCTGCTCCCAGGGTCAGGGAAATTGAATGTGAGCCTGAGAACTCGCACACCCCCAAAGTCTCTGGAGAGTAGAAACCTGGGGGAAAACCAAACCAGTTTTCCTGCGGTCACCCAGAAACACTGCCCACACTTCCAGCTCCCCGGGAACGGGACACATCTCACTGTCAGTGTCCGAGCTGAGGAAGGGGGTCCCCAAGTCCCCAGTCCCCTTGCAGGCGGAAGCCGAAAGGGGGTGAGGACTTAGGGGACTGGGCCGGGAGATCAAAGCCCGAGCTGGAGGTAATGCCAGTCCCAGGGGGATCTGATCTCACTACATCCCACTCTGCCCTACCCACGCTCTGCGCAGGGGGAGGTGGGGCACAGGGTAGGGACCCGAGTCCTTGGAGACTGAGCCCACAGACCCCAAGGAGGTCCGGCTTCGGGAGGCCAGAGGTGAGGTCTGAGGCTGGGCCGAGGAGCCCCAGGAGCCAATGGCCCCAAGTCACCCAGGGGCGACAAGCCAGGGCGGGGGCTGGGTGCTGAGGGGGTGGTGCTGGCTGAGAGGACTTGGGTGGGGGAAGCCAAGGGGCGCTCGGGCTCGACCCGAGTGTCTGAGGAGCCGCACAGACCCCGCCACGGACCGACAATCAGACGGGCAGTGGGCTGGGCCGGGGGGCGCGACCCGATGTTTTACCTTTTTCTTGGCCGCAGCCAGTTTGCTCTGTCGAGTTTCCTCCGACATCGCGGGGCGGGGAGGGGTCGGGGGGAGGGGGGGCCACATCACCACGATCCCGGCAACCAATGCGAATTGCTCCCAGCAGCTACCGCGCAGATGTGTGACTGAGCCAGGAGACGCCCGTTCAGGGCAGAACTAGGCGGGGCTGGGTGGGCGTGGTCGCCACACTTCAAGCCCATTGGTCAGTGAGAAAGATGAAACAAAGAAGGGCGTGGTCCGAGGCGTCAAAATGGGAGCTGCGCGTGCAGCTGTCACCGCCCACTCTGGGGGCGGGGCGATTTCCCTTGGGTGCGCGCGCAGCTTTCTCTAGTTAGTCTGCGGACCCCAGAGGCCGCTCTCCGGCCCGCGCCCTGGACCCCCTTTCTCCACAGGCGCCCCCGAACCGGGGCCTTCGGAACCCAGGGCTCAGGAGGTGGGCGGAGCGCAGAGCAGGGGACACTGCATCAGTTCACGAGCCCTTTCTGACTCCTCCCAGATGTGCCCCAGACGTTCTCGTTTCAGAAATCCCCTCGGGGGTCCCTTTCACGTCCTCCATACACTGCCCCTCTCACACCCAGCCCTTCCTCGAGGGGCCCCACGCTGATCCCGAAAGCGCGTCTGTCCCCGCCCAGCTGGATCCAGTCGGGCGCGCCCAGTTCCCGGCGGCTCCTCCTCCCGCGCCCCCACGGGCTCCCTTTCCCCTCAGAGCAGCTCCGGGGCCTCAGCCTCTCCCACGCTTCCCTCCAGGGCTGAGCAGACCCGGCCGCAGCTGCCGCGGGGCCTTCCGGTCACGGTGAGTAGCCCGCGCCCCCCGACCCTGTGCGTGTGTCTGCGCCCCCCGACCCGTGAGGAAGTCTGTGCCCCCGACCCGTCCGTGTGCCTGAGCCCCCCGACCCGTGTGGATGGTTGCAGACCCCATCCCGTGAGGTTGTCTGTGCCCCCCGACCCGTGTGTGTGCCTGCACCGCCCAACCCCATGAGTGTGCCTGCGCCCCCCTATCCGTGAGGATGTTTGCGCTCCCGAACCGTGAGCATGGCTACGGACCCAGACCCCGTGAGGATGCCAGCACCTCCCGACCCCGTCATGGTGGCTGCACCCCCGGACCCGTGAGGAAGTCTGTGCTGCCAGACCTCGTGCGTGTGCCTGCGTTCCCAGATCCGCGCGGATGTCTGCGCCCCCAACCAGTGAGGGTGCCTGCGCCCCCTGACTCCGTGCATGTGCCGGAGCCCCCGGACCCTGTGAGGATTTCTGTGCCTCCCGGACCGTGAGGGGGCCTGCGCCCCCCGACCTGTGAGGAAGTCTGCGCCCCCCAACCCCATGAGTGTGCCTGAGCCCCCCGACCAGTGAGGATGTCCAGGCCACCGAGCCGTGAGCATGGTTGCGGACCCCGACCCCGTGCGGGGGGCTGCAGTAGACATCAACCCGTGAGAGTGCCAGCGCCTCCCAACCCCGTGAGGGTGCCAGCGCCTCCCAACCCCATGAGGGTGGCTGCACCCCCGACCTCTTGAGGTTGCCTGGGCCCCTCGACCCGTGAGAGTGCCAGCGCCCACCGACCACAGAAGATGCCAGCACCCCGACCCTGTGAGAATGTCCGTGCCCCCCGACCTGTGAGGGTGCCCGTGCCCCCTGACCCGTGAAGTTGCCAGCGGCCTCCAATCCGTGAGTGTGCCAGCACCCCCGATTCTGTGTGGGTGCCAACGCCCTCCATCCCGTGAGGATTTCTGAGCCCACCCAATGTGGGGAGGATGTCTATGTGCCCCCCCACACAGTGGCAGTCACAGCTACCCCCAGCCCTCCCCCACCCCAACCACAGCCCACAGGTGGGCCTTCCTCAGTCTTCCTGGGCAGACAAAACTCCGGGAGGCTCCCGAGCTGTCTTTCAGAATCCCTCTCAGTGGTCCCTGAGGAGCGTCAGCCAAGGTAGGTACCTGCCACTCTGCCTGCCTCAGGACCACATCTGCCCCACTGCACCAGACCCACACTGGAGGGCACCCCTGGGATCTCAGGGCCAGGCCCCTCCCTCTCCCTACTGCAGCTCCAGACTCCCTCTTTCCTGTTTCTGTCCTTGGGCCAGCTGGCTCTCTCCTCTCCCTTCCCAGGCAGCCTCGGGACTCAGTGCAGCTGCCCAGGGCCTCCGTGGCTGAGCCTGGGGGTTCTCTGGACAGGATCCGAACCACTGGCAGATGTGGGTGCCTGTTGCTGTTGATTTCTCAACAATGTTGCAGTGGATTCATTTCTGAGAGGAACAGCGTGGTGGGGGCAAGAGGCGCGGAGTCACTACACAGACCCCGGGAGTCCAGTGAAAGCAGGCTTGAGGTGAGCAGCCGGCAGACTTGTTTATTTCAGTTGAAACTACCTCTTATATAGCCAAGACAAGCCAATATGGTCAAGGGGCAGTCTATGCCCCATCCAATCACAGCCTGCCAGGCAGTTTCCAAAGCCATCCAATCACAGCCTGCCAGCAGCTTCCAAAGCCATCCAGTCACAGCCTGTTGCCAGGCAGTTTCCAAAGCCATTCAATCACAGCCTGTTGCCAGGTGGGTTTCAAAGCCATTCCTGAGTAACTGATGCTCCCTTGCCAGTGGCCACCTTGGCATGGCCCTCTCATTCCACCACACCAAGCCATAACAAAGAGCTGGATCAAAAGTGGAGCAGCTGGGACTCAAACCGGTGCCCATATGGAATGCTGGCACTGCAGACAGTGGCTTTACCTGCTACACTACTGTGCCAGCCCCAGAACAAGCATGTATAACACAGCAAGTTAGAATATTGGATTTTGAATATGAATTCACATTAGGATATGCTTTATATTGTAGGAGTTTATGGATAGAGGTTATGGGCAAACACAAGACTTGTGTAGGTAAGTTTTACATAGATACTTAGGCATGAAGATAAATTTTTCATTACCTACACAATCATATTATTGAAAAATAAAAATAGAGATAAAGGATGGAAAAAGAAAGCAGAGGAGTCATATGTGATTTTTTTTCAGGGCCCATATAAATAGTGACACTTTGGCAAGGGATTTTTCATGAGATTGTTTTAAGGAAGAAATTTTTCTGAAAAGGAAACTCAAATGTAGCACACACTTATTTTCTATGATATTTCTGCTTAAGCAAAGTGCTTATGCATGTATTACTTTCTTGTAAATTCAAAATTACCGGACAGTTCATCGGGAAAAACAACAGGAGAAAGTCAAAAAATTGATTTAGAGTTCACTTTTCTTTTACAATGTAGACTGACAAAATATTTTTAAAATAAATGTAACCCTTGATATTGTAGAAATATTGCCATATTGCAAATGTGTGAAATATGGGAAATACTTATAAATAGTAAAAACACAAAAAGACACACACACACACATAAACTGTACACATACTAGGGTCTATTCTTATCTTTAGGGGGAAAGGACTCAAAGATAAATGTCTCCCCAGTTTTTTAACTCAGAACTACTCTCAGTGGTTCACACATTTTACTGATGAGTAAACTTGCTTCAAGTTTTCCATGAATAGAAATTGAGAAATTTGTCAATTGTACTCTATGGAGCATGTAAGTGACCATACCATAAACTCTCAAATGCAATGGTGTGTTGGAGTTCTTTCCTGGATATTGTTCCTGACCTTGTGGGCAGTGAGAGCCACAGGAGAGTTAAAGGTACTTCAACTGACAGATCTGTTACTTGGAGGCTCCACAAGGAATCAATGACATCTTTGTGCAACTTGAGGGCTTGGCTGCTCCTCTTCTGATTCAGCTCTCTGCTATGGCCTGGGATAGCAGTAGAAGATGGCCCAAGTCCTTGGGCCCCTGCACCATGTGGGAGACCTGGAAGAAGCTCCTGGCTCCTGGCTTCGGATTGGTACAGCTCCAGCTGTTGTGGCCAATTTGGGAGTGAACCATCAGATGGAAGATCTGTCTCTTTCTCTCTCTCTCTCTCTCTCTCTCTCTCTGCCTCTCCTCTCTCTGTAATTGAGACTTTCAAATAAATAAATAAATCTTTTTAAAAAACTGTCAAATAACCCAGCTTACAGGTCTTAAGAGTACCTGAAGATGTAGAAAGAGAGAATGGAATAGAAGGCCTATTTTTGTGAAATAATCACAGAAAACTCCCCCAATTTGGAGAAAGAAAAGGATGCCAAGTACAGGAAGCACATAGAACACATAAGAAACATGACCTGAAAGGATCTTCACCATGACACATTGTAGTCAAACTTTCCACAGTAAGGCATAAAGAAACATGTTCGTATGTGTTTTCTGCTGTAATCAATTTCTAAAGTGTATACACTGACAAGAAGAACTACACAAAGTACAGTCATTGAACAAGGTATATCTCCTGAGAGGGGCTCCAGGCGGCTCAGCCAGTGCTACTGTTTGTGTTTCCCACACCGCAGGAGCCCTCAGGAGGATGCTAGGACTCCGGTATGCAGTGGGCTGGCCGTCAGGACCACGGGGTGGTGTGCAGTCCCCGCCTGCAGCTTCTTTGAACCCTGGGGCATCAGCTTTCCAATCTCTGTGTGGTGAGGAAGAACTTGAACTTACTGTATGACCCGATTTCCTTGAGTGAGGCAGCAGATCTCAAGCAGGCCTCTCGGCGTAGGGGTCTGGGTCAGTTTTCTTGTTGCTAATCGTGCAGCAGCACAGGCTCGGTGTGTGAGAAGGAAGCGGTATTATTGACCTCATGGTTTTGGTGCAGGGTCTAGGGGCAGCATCCGGTGATGATCTTCTTGCTGGTAGAGTCCTGGGGTGGCACAGAGACCAGCGGACAGACAGAAGGGGTGCAGAGGGGGCCAATCCAAAGTGGTCTATGTTGCGGTCCCCTAGGGATAAGGCGTTAATCCATGAACACATGAATGGATTTATCCTGATCACTTCCTGCAGGGCCTCACCTGTTCTCACTGCTGAATTTCTCATCACTGGATTAACTGTGCCCATGAGTTTCAGAGGGGATAAACCATGTTTAATAGAGAGCATGCAGGCTTGCAGGAGGTCCCTAAATTTCCAGGTCTCCTCCCACCACCTAGTTTTGAGATTTAGTGCTTCTGCCCCTCATGTGGAAGAAGGCACCCTTTCTTAGGGCTTTCAAGGAAAGAAGGAAAGGACTTCAAGCTTTTCTTCCTACTAGGATCACCTATTATTTTCATTGC